CATCCTTTTTAAAAGTTTTTACATTATCTCACCTTATAATGATACAGAAACAATCTCATACAAATATAGATAAAATGCATAGTACTATTATAATAAAATACAAAATTAGATATTCTGATGAGTGTGAATGAATAGTGCTGTAAGAATACAAAACCAGGTGAAATGCATGTGTTTCTTCCTTTACATCTCAGGAACAAGTTCATTGTTTGCTATACTTGTCTTGTTCCTTGTTGATTCCTTCCTTTTTCTCATGATCACAGGCCTCCACATGCCATAGACCAGTGAACTAAATATGACTTTCAAAACACACCCAAAGTAATCATGGCTCACTTCAACAGTGATTTTCAAAGTGTGTGGTGCTAGTATAGTTTTAATTTATTTGCTCATCTAAGATTATTAATAGGTTATTATCTATATTTAACTTGCTTAAAATAAAATTATTTTATTTCCCTATTTAAAGGTAATTTTAAAAAGTTGAAAAAAGGAAATGTTAGGAACTCATTAAAAGTACTGAACTTCTATGCTTTTCAAACATAATGTAACTTCAGCAGTGACCTTAGTCATTTTTCCTCTTCAAACATTTTCATTTCTTCAACATCATATTTTAAGACCTTTTATTTTAGAATGCATTTTAATACTCAACAAGAAAATATGTATTGATAATTCTTAGTTGTTGATAATTCTTATTTATTCATGCTATCCTTAGCTATTTATATTCAGTAAAATTCTTCAGAAAAAATTTAAATCATTATCTAAATCTCAACAATATTTCTTTGTGATTTTGATTGAATAGGTAAAGCCTATTAATTACTGTTTGGGGAAAGAAAATAATATGTAGTATATGTTAAATAACATATATTACACTGTTATCACATACCACATTATTACTATTACATATTATGTTTTATACTAGAGGCTCGGTACATGAATTCATGCATGGTGGGGTCCAGCTGGCCCGCCCCAATCCAGGCTGATCTGGCCAGGCCAGCTGTGGGGAGAGCAGCAGGTGGTTGGCAGGCTAGCCCCACTCCCTGGTCAAACTCCTGGTCGAACACCGGGTCAAGGGGACAATATGCATATTAGCCTTTTATTATATAGGATTATTATATATGATAAGTTATATATTGTATTGTGTGTTCACCACCCCAAGTCAAGTCTCTCTCCATCACCATTTATCCCTACATTTACTCTTTACCTTCCCCCACCCTCTCTTCCCTCTGGTAATCACCAAACTGTTGTCTATGTCCATGAGCCTTCTTTTTATCTTTGCTTAATTCCTTCAACCTTCTCACCAAGCTACCAAATTTCTCCCCTCTGACAGCTGTCAGTATGTTCTTTGTATCCATGAGTCTGTCTCCACTTTGTTAGTTTATTTTGTTCATTATATTTCATACTAGGGGCCCCGTGCATAAATTTGTGCACCTTGAAAGGAACTGTGGGCCGCAAGGTTGTGGTGGGAACAGGGGTGGGTCTCAGCCCATCCTCCATGCGCCTGCCCAGCTCCTCCCACTGTGGCCCCCAGTCCCCTCTCTGCTGGCAGCCCCGCTGTTGATGCTGCTTGCACCCGCTGATGGTACGGACCAACTGGGGCTGGCACCAGCAGCAGGTGCGAGCGGGGCCAGCGCTGGCAGTGGGTCCAAGAAATGGCTTCCGTCATAGTGACCAGTCGTTCCACCATTCAGTTGATTTGAATATTACCCTTTTATTATATAAGATTGGCTTCTAATTTCCTTTTGTTTTAGTGTCTTTATTTAGTTTTGGAATTAGGAAGATGCTGGCTTTGTAAAATGAGCTTCAGACTCTTCCCTCCTTTTAAATTTTTTGGAATAGCTTGAGAGGGAAAGATGAGAGTTCTTTGAATATTTGATAAAATTTACCTTTGAAGCCATCCAGTCCATGACTTTTGTTTGTTGGAAGGTTTTTTATTATTTCTTTGATTTCATTAGTTTTAATCAGTCTATTCAAATATTCTGTTTTTTCTTGACTCAGTTTTAAGAGATTGTATGCTTATTGGAATTTATCCATTTTTTCCTAATTGCCAATTTTTCTGCACACTGTTGTTTTAAATGTTTTCTTACAACCCTTTGTGATTCTGTAGTGTCAGTTGTTAATGCCTTTCTTACATTTCTGATTTTATTTGTTTGGGTACTCTCTATTTTTCTTGATGAGTCTGGTTAATGGTTTATCAATCTTGTTTATTTTTTTCAAATAGCTAACTAACTTTTAGTTTCATTGGTCATTTGTATGTTGGGTTTTTTAATCTCTTTTATTTATTTTTTATTTGATCTTTATTATTTCCTTTCTTTTCGTTCATTTGTTGTTCTTTTTCTAGTACTTTTAGGTATAAGGTTTGGCAGGTTATCTGAGGTATTTTTTTTTTTATTTTTTTCTGTATTCCTATGAATTTCCCTCTCAGAGCTGCTTTTGCTGTGTCCCATATATTTTGGGTTTTTGTGTTCCAATTTTTATTTCTCTCAAGTTTCTATTGATTTCTTCCTTGATCTCATTGTTAACCCATTCATTGTCTACTGACATGTTATTTAGCCTACATCTGTTTCTTTGTTTCTCAGTTTTTTTCCTGTAATTGATTTCTTATTTCATAACATTGGTCAGAGGAAATGTCTGATATAATTCCAATCTTCTTAAATTTATTGACACTTTTTTATAATGTGTGGCTTATCCTAAAAAATGTTCCATGTGCACTTGAAAAGAATGTATATTCTGCTACTCTGGGGTGCAATGCTCTGAAGATATCAATTAAATCTATGTCATCTAGTGTGTCATTTAAAGCTGCTGTTTTCTTGTTGAATTTCTGCATGAAAGATCTATCCATTGATGTCAATTAAATGTTAAACTCCTCTGCATTAACTGTATTACTGTTGATCTACCCCTTTATGTTTATCAAGATATGCTCCATATATATTTATGTTTTCCTATATTGGGTACATAAATGTTTATCATTATGTAGTGTTTTCCTCTGTCTTTTCTTATAGTCTTTGTTTTAAAGTTAATTTTGTCTTATATAAGTATTGTTAACCACTTTCTTTTCATTTGCATTTGCATGAAATACTTTTTTCCATCCCTGAACTTTTAGTTTGTGTGTGTCTTTAATTCTTAGGTGGGTCTTTTGTAGACAACATCCTTTGGGTCTTGTTTTATTGTCCATTCAGCTACCCTATGTCTTCAGATTAGAGCATTTAAGCCACTAATATTTTGATTGCATTAGTTGGGGTGACTAATAATAGAGGAATATGCAAATTGGCCAGGACACCATCATGTAATGACCAATCAGGACAGGGAGGGGCCGCGGTGGAGAGCTCTCAGCCCACCTGCGCAGGGGGTCCAAAGGGCACAGAGAGGAAGCAAGAGCAGATAGGCAGTTAGGGGGATCAGGCCAGCAGGGGAGAGGTTAGGAGCCAGTGGTTCTGGAATGTGAGAGAAATCCCGGATTGAAGAGGGTGCAGGCTGGGCTGAGGGACCCCACCTCCCATGCATGATTTCCTGCACCAGGCCTCTAGTTGGTTAATAAAATTAACAAATGGCTGGGCTGAGGGACCCCACCTCCCATGCATGATTTCCTGCACCAGGCCTCTAGTTGGTTAATAAAATTAACAAAATTTAGGTACACAATTCTACAGTACATCACCTCTATATTGTATTGTGTGTTTACCACCAATTCAAGTGTCCTTCCATCACCCTTTATCTGCTACAACCCCCCAACCCTGTTACCTTTGGCAATCACCATGAGCCTTTCTTTTTTTTCTTTCCTTAATTTCTTCTCCCTTCTCACCCAGCCCCTAGTTCCCTCCCCTCTGATAGCTGTTAGCATGTTCTTTGTATCCATGAGTCTGTCTCCACTTTGTTAGTTTATTTTGTTCATTATATTTCATACTAGGGGCCCCCGTTCTTAAATCATACACAAGAATAAACTGAAAATGGATTTAAAGACTTACATGTCAGACTCAAAACCATAAAACTCCTGCAAGAAAACATAGGCAGTGAAATCTCAGATATGTCCCATAGCAATATATTTTCTCTCTCTCTCTTTTTTTAACCCTACCTGAGAATATTTTCTCCATTGCTTCTTAGAGAGAGTGGAAGGGAGGCAGGGTGGGGAGAGAGAGAGAGATAGAGTCTCTCTCCCTCTCCCTTCCTCTCACTGAAATCAATAAAAATATATATATTTTTAAAAAGATACCAATGTCATGTTTCATAGAACTAGAACAATTATGCCAAAATTATATGGAACCTCAAAAGACTCTGAATAGCAAAAGTGATCTTGGGAAAGAAGAACAAAGTTGGAGTAATCACACTAACTGATATCAAACTATACTACAAAGCCATAGTAATCAGAACAACATGGCACTGCCATAAAAACATATAGATCAATGGAACAGAATAGGGAACCTAGAAATAAATCTATACCTTTATAATCAATTATGATTTGACAAAGGAGGCAAAAACATAAAGATTTCACTTAGCATAATACTCTCCAGGTTCATCCAGGCTTTTTCAAACAGTAATATTTCCTTTTTTTATGGCAGAGTATTATTTTATTGTGTAAATGTACCATAGATATTTTATCCACTTATCTACTGATGGGCACTTGTGCTGCTTCCAAATGTCAGCTATCTACACTAATAAAAGAGAAACATGGTAATTGGCGTACGACCGCTATCCTTCCCATTGGCTAATCAGGGAGATATGCAATTTCTTTTTCTTAAAGAAAACACTTTAACATTTTTATAATACTGGTTTGGTGGTAATAAACTACTTTAGATTTTTTTTGTCTAGGAATCTATTTCTTTTTTCAATTCTAAATGATAGCCTTACTGGGTAAAGTAGTCTTGGTTGTATGTTTTTGCTTTTCATCACTTTGAATATAATTTGCCAATTCTTTCTGTCCTGAAATGTTTTTGTTGAGAAATCAACTGACAATCTTATGGGAGCTCTCTTGTAGATATATTACTGTCTTTTTCTTGCTGCTTTTATCCCTTGCCATTTTAATTATGATGTGTCCTGGTGGGGGCCTTTTTGGGTTCACCTTATTTGTACTCTCTGTACTTCCTGGAATTGTGTGTCTGTATCCTTCAACAGGTAGAGGAAGTTTTCCATCATTATTTCTTCAAATAGGTTCTCAATCCCTTGCTTCCACTCGTTTTCTTCTAGTACTCCTATGATGCAGATATTGTGATTCATGTTGTCCCAAAGGTCTTTAAACTATCCTCACTTTTAAAATTCTTTTTTCTTTTTACTGTTCTAATTGTGTTTCTTCTTCTACCTTGTCTTTCAAATTATTGATTCTATTCTCTGCTTTATTTAACCTACTGTTTATACCTTCTGTTATATTTTTTAAGTTCAGATATTGTATTTCTCATTTATGACTGGTTGTGTCTTATGGTTCTATTTTCATTTTTCATGCTGTGAAAGTTCTCACTAAGTTCCTTGGGCATGCTATAACCATTGTTTTGAACTCTGTATCTGGTAGATCATACATTACTCGACTTTCTCTGACTGGCTTATTTCACTTATCATAATACTCTCCAGGCTCATCCAGGCTTTTTCAAACAGTAAGATTTCCTTTTTTTATGGCACAGTATTATTTTATTGTGTAAATGTACCATAGATATTTTATCCACTTATCTACTGATGGGCACTTGTGCTGCTTCCAAATGTCAGCTATTGTAAATAAAGCTGCAATGAACAGAGGGGTGCATATATTCTTTCCAATTAGTTTGTTAGGTTTCTTTAAATATATTCCCAAAAGTGGAATTGGTGGGTCATAAGGCAGTTTCATTTTTAATATTTTGAAGATCCTTTATACTGTTTTCTGCAGTGGCTGTACCAATCTCTATTCTTGTTTTTCTTAAAGAAAACACTTTAACATTTTTATAATACTGGTTTGGTGGTAATAAACTACTTTAGATTTTTTTTGTCTAGGAATCTATTTCTTTTTTCAATTCTAAATGATAGCCTTACTGGGTAAAGTAGTGCATGAGGGTTCCCTTTTCTCCACATCCTCTCCAACATTACTTGTTTGTTAATTTATTGATGATAGCCTCTCTGACAGGTGCAAAGTGGTATCTCATTGTGATTTTAATTTGCATTTTCATGATGATTAGTGGTGATGAACATCTTTTTATATGTCTATTGTTCATCTATATGCCCTCTTTGGAGAAGTGTTTATTCCAGTCTTTGGCCCATTTCTTAATTGGATTGTTTGTTGTTGTTTTTTGGTGTTGAGTTTTATAAGTTCCATGTAAATTTTGAATATTAAACCCTATTAGATGTATCGGCAAATATGTTATCTCATTCAGTGGTGTCTTTTCATTTTGTTCATGGTTTCCTTTACTAAACAAAAACTTTTTAGTTTAAATAAATTTAACCAAATATGTAAAATACTTGTACTTGGGAAATTATAAGACATTAAAAAAGATACAAATAAATGTAAGCATATATCGTGTTTAAGGACAGGAAAAATTAGCATCATTAAAATATCTATACTGCCCCAAAGGGTGGTCGGGGCTAGAAGCTGCAGCTCACACCCACTGATGGTGCCGAGTGATCAGGGCTGGCGCCGAGAGCTGGCAGTGAGTGTGAGCACTGAGCAGGACTGCAAAACATGGGAGCAAATTTTCAGTAACTACCAGAGGTTTGCCCTGATGACAATGACCGGCGCCCGCCTTCAATCTATAGATTTAATGCAATTCCTATCAAGATACCAAAGGTGCCCTATCTGGTTTGGCTCAATGGATAGAGTGATGGCCTGCAAACTGAAGGGTCCCTGGTTTGATTCTGGTCAAAGGCACATGCCTGAGTTTCGGGCTCAATCCCTAGTAGGAGGCATGCAGGAGGAAGCCAATCAATGATTATCTCTCATAATTGATGTTTTAATCTCTCTCTCCCTCTCCCTTCCTCTCACTGAAATCAATAAAAATATATATATTTTT